AGGGGCGGGGTCGCCTCCGCTCCCCCGCCCCCCCATGTGCCAGTGAGCTGCCCCTCGCCCCCCCCCCCCCGCTGCCATGACCCAGTCCCCAAGCCCCTCTTCTTCTGCTGTGCTATGTGTGATACAAACCAGTCACCCACAGGCAGGGTGGTGGCCTTTCCTGGCTCATTGCCACCTTTCCCCCTCACACACACAGCCCAGATTTCCCTAGTGTAGACAGGGCCACAGGTGCCACCTACGTGGCCTTCAGAGACTGCTTGGATTTGCATGGGGTAAAATTTTAAATTGTATGTGGGATTTGTAAGTTATCAGCTGTGACATTGTATGTGACACAAAAAAGGCGGTGTGCAACTTGCGTTACATGTAATCACTCCGCTTTGATCCTGCAAGTGATGGCCGCGCTCATCTAGAAAGGGTGGACACAGTGTTCCTTTGGTGACTGAGTGAGTGTAAGAATCAGGTTTTCCAAAAGGAACAGCAGTGTCCTGGGCTGCTAGGTTTAGGCCTAGGTCAGCTGTGTTGCCCAGTGTAGAAAGCCAGGGCTGTGCTAAGTAACATTAATGTGCCACAAGTACTCCTGTTCTTATTAATGTTTAATTTTACTTATGTGTAGACTTGTTGAAGTCAGTGTAGGACTACTCAAGATCTTAAAAGTTATTCATGTGGTTAAGCATATATAGGATTGGGGCTTTATAGGCTGACTCATGCTTAGTTAAACAGGTAAATCTTTATGCGATTGGGGCTTTAGATTATAAATACTTTGGGGCAGGCACTATCTCTTACCATGTGACTGTATAATTCCATTACAATAAGGCCCTTGTCCTGACTGGGATCTGTAGCTGGTGCTATCACAATACATACACATAATAAATGTGATACGTTGTTGATGTCATTCCATTTTCATGGAAGCCTACTGAGCAATTGCTGTTTGTGACTTTTATTTTTCCATTATATATCTTTGTTTTGCCTGTTTTCAATAGAATTTTTTTCTAGGCCAAATAGAGTATTGCATGGAACAAAAGAAAAAAAGAGATCAGGTAGGTGAGGTAATATGCAGATGGATGCCCTGTTCGTCGGAGCCCTGGGTGCCTGGGACCCCTGCAACGAGCGTGTGCTGTGGACCTGCGGGATCGGTCGACGCTACACATGGCTCATGTGGTACCTCATGGTCTCGACACCATCCGGTGGTCCAGGGACATCTACACTGGCCACCGACAGTACCAGGAGGCGTGATCCGGAGCGACATCATGCATCGACTACGAGAAAGGGACTGAGAGACTTTTTCCATTGGACCATATGAACTGGAACCATAAACTCACTGAACACCAAATGAGGGTCAATGCATCCTCATCATCGTACCCACTCATTATATTCCACACCTGAACATAGCCATTATATGAACAACATACCCTCACATCTCAATGTCTGTACTTTGACCCGTTAACCTTTTACCCCCAAATAGGGGATATTGCTGATTATGTATTCCTTATATCACCCAATCTTAAATCGAACTTCGCACCCATTGATAATCCATACGTTATTCCCTGATAACCAGAAATTTCTATGCTTAAACTCTGTACCATTTGCTTTTTTAAAAATATCATATTAATACATTTTTAAAATCTTTTATTGGACCAACTTCTGTTGTTAGAAGGTACAAGCTTTCAAGCTACACAGAGCTCTTCTTCAGATCTGGGGAAGGAAATCACAGTGTCTGAGCTAAATACAGTTTGGGATCGATTGTTAAGTATAAGGGGTAATGCATGTTGTAGGCCATTACTAGAAATGGGCAATTGAGGGTTAGATTGTTACGCATACTGGGTTTGAAGTGGGCAATTAAGGGTAGCAGGCAGGGTAGTGTGTTAAAGATTGTTGTAATGAGCCATAAAACCAATGTCCCTGTCCCTGTTAGGTTTTTGTTATCTCGCAGCGTTTTGAATTTAAATTCCCAGGCTCGCCTTTTGAAGGTGTTGTGGAGTTTTCCTTTGAGGGTGTGATCACATGCCTTACTTCACACCTAGTCTCACTAAGGCCTTGGCTACACTTGCGAAGGTATAGCGCTGTGAGTTAAACCTGACTTCGTACATCTGAGTAGGGAAAGTGCTGCAGTCTGTCCACACTGACAGCTGCCCAGCGCACTGTTGTGGCCACATTTGCAGCATTTGATGCGCCATTGGGAGCGGTGCACCCACAAAGCACCTCTTTCCATTCTGGCGCCATGGGTTGTGGGAAGGGGGTGTGGGGGCGGGGCATTCTGGGTCCTGTCCTAACGCCCTGTGATGCATCACTTCGCATCCCAGAAATCCCTTTGTTTCCGTCCACCTTTGGCGCCATCTTTCAACCGTTTCTGTGCAGCGCGAGCTGTTGTCTGCGGGAAATGGAGCCTAAACTGCTGAGGTGTATGCTGACTTATCTCACCAGTACGTCACATTTGGCTGTCGAACTATTCCTTAAGATCCAAAGTGACAGCGAGAGTTAGGAGTCCGATGATGCTATCGAGCCGCGTAACGCTTCCGACACGAAATTGTTTGTGGCATTCACGGACATGCTCAGCACCGTGGAACGCCGCTTTGGGGCTCGGGAAACAAGCACCAAGTGGTGGGATCACATCGTCATGGAAGTCTGGGATGACGAGCAGTGGCTGCAGAACTTTCGGATGAGAAAAGCCACTTTCATGGGACTGTGTGAGGAGCTCGCCCCCACCCTGCGGCGCAAGGACACGAGATTGAGAGCTGCCCTGCCAGTGGAGAAGCGGGTGGCTATTGCAATCTGGAAGCTGGTAACTCCAGACAGCTACCGGTCGGTTGCAAACCAGTTTGGAGTGGGAAAGTCGACCGTTGGAATCATGTTGATGCAAGTTTGCAGGGCCATTAATCGCATCCTACTCAGAAGAACCGTGACTCTGGGTAATGTGCAGGAAATAGTGGATGGCTTTGCACAAATGGGGTTCCCTAACTGTGGA